TTTGCGTACAACGGAGCACAGACCTTCTCTTTTGGTTAAGAAAGTGCAAATGGGCTAATGAAGCCAGAGTGTTATTATGAAGTCCACAATGAGTATAAAAGTATACTTGAATCGTAGAAGGCACTTGTGATCATGCTTCGATGTTCTTCAATCATTGCTGTGAGCATAGTTGTTGATGCTTTCAACGTCTTCGAATTCACAATTCAGCTCCTCACTATGCTGGTTATCTTTTCGGTTATTCGGTATTCTTTCCGAAGAACAGGCAAAGATGGAGAGAAATGGTCCAGAGAAAGTTACAAAGAGATGTCACAGATTGCTGGCGAAAAGTGCAAACTGGAGACTTAATACAATGAAGGCGCTCAGAAGGGCCTTCAAAAGCAATAAGGCGTCGGCGGTTAGTTAACCTGAAGGTAAGATTACGAATGACTCAATTCAACGCTAGGGAATTATTGGAAAGTGGACAAAACTCAGTCGTTTCCATCTCCACAGCAAGATCTTTTAAGTTGTGATAAAGATTGTCGACTAGATCAATCCAAATCTTCGTTTTTTAGAGATACAATTGCGCTATGAAGGCCTATGGATCCGGATTGAGCAGAACTGTCCAACTTTTCTTCCACTTCTAGTGCGTGCGGTTATACACCTGCTTACAACATAGATTACAGTACGCGTTCCAGCGATGTAAATGAGATCCCCAAGAACGTTGTCGACTCGCTTAGATATGGTCGCATGGTATGTTTGTGAACTTAAAATTTAGAATAATTTTTGAAAGAAAACTATAATGACTATCATTCACTCATGTAAAACTCACAATAACAAAGCCAAGTAGGCAAACTATAAATTTAGATCCTAATACGTTTTTACGTTGGAGTTAGCAACTTTCGCTACTCATCGTCAGTTTTCACATTTACTACAAACATGATCGTCTTTCCTCCGATGCTCCACTCTTTGAAGTTTACAAGATTTACAAATCCAGCGTCGGGTGCACCAGCATCTCTACTCCCGCGGGGAATAGAGATGTTGATGGACTCTGCACCTATTCCGCCAACGTACTCTCTAATCATGTCCAATCGATCGAGGGTCCGCCTTTCCCACACTCGCTGTGAGAAAGTGATCGAAGAGCATGTCCGCGAAGAGATGGTCCAGGCGAAACGGCCGCGCGAGAACGGAGATGCTGGTCCACCCGACACTGCATTTGATACACTTACAATTGCATGAGTTTCGATAGTTATGGTGGAGTAACAAGTACTTGAGAGCTTACAGTTGGAGTTTCATTGAAGTAAATATAATGAGTCACGTCTAGAGTATGGAAAATAAGGCAGACATGTTGGTTAACTTGCAAAAAACCGAAAATGCGCATTTTTTGCATAGGTATTATGGATTGTTCTCATGAACTGTCATGGGAACAAAGAAATTTTGTTCGGGCAAAAGATGAACGAACTAAGTTGTGATAGTAGACAAATACATTTTTTTCAAAATAGCAACTGACACAACCTTGGTGCGACGTGTGTTGCAAAATCGTGAGAGAGTGGACAATTTGTATAGCTTAGCTCATATATGCAGAGTCATTGCATCGTTAATCTGCAAGAAGTATTTTCAGAGTGGCATCCTGAAAGTTCCCAAACGTGCATTGTTGAGCACTGGATGTGTGCGCTCCAAATTTCCTCATCATTTGAGCCTTGTGACCTGCGAAGTTGCAGTGAGCTACAGCAAACGATTGATAATAAGTTAAGCAATTATGCGATATAAAAGATTCTGTTTTTTCATTCTATCAGTTTTTTAAAGTGCATGAGAATTGTTTGTCATGTGCAGAGTTGCATGTCAAACTCAGCTTTTTATCTTTCGTACATACTATACATCATGGAAAAGTACTAATCATCAATGTCCCCGTATGAAATGAGATATCCATTGCCAAAACCAGTATCGAATGCTTATTTCAAGCTCATTACATGCGAAGAGCTTTGCAAAGGGTTTGTTGCTAGCCACAAACAAAACGTTGAGAGCTGATTTGTATAAGGATCGCAAACCCGCGCATGATCAGCCATTAGTAAAGCGCTTCTAACCGATCTATCATGAGCAATCAGCTGTGATATTATAGGCCAGATTTTTACATTTTTACAAAAAGCTCCTTGAAGGACTCCTCACACTTTTGAGATCAGCATGCATCGACTTCAGCAGCATCTAGTCTCGGGTAGCCATTTTCTAGGAATTCTTAGTCAGTTGAAATTCTCAAAGCTTCCAATAATTATTTGTTTGCGAGAACCCTCGTTTTTTTTTCAATGCATATGGCATATGAACGTCCCAGAATTTCCAGAGCAGAGTTTTCAAAACAAGTCAAACTCTTAGCTTTTTTTCT